GGTCGCATCCACCGTAAAAGTGGAGAAGACAGAGCCTGGCCATGCGTCACTGGAGTAGCCCTGTGTCTGGCTATGGGGGCTGCTGGGCTGGTTTGCAGCAGTGATCTGGCAACCTCAGCGCTGGAGAAAGCCTTGACCAGTTGGTTTCTATCTGATGTTATCACTGCTAGTGGCATTTTTCTGCTCTATCTAGCTTCATCACCTAACAAATATTTTGAAAATGATCGAATTAGCTGGCACAGAAAAGTGATAAAGAGCACAGCTTAAAACTTGTAACTCTTAAATGAAAGTAAATGAATGTAATAGCTGCTTAGCCACTGCACTTCAAAGCTGAAAACTACTTCTCCTTACTAACATTTTATGTTCTTTGAAAGGGTGAATTATCTAAATAGTTTGTGCTTTATTTAACAGAAATTTCCAATAAACCTCATTCTGTCACTTTGAGTTATGTCACTTCATGCCATGTGACATGAATGCATTGATGTAAGTTTGACAGGCAGTGCCAATGCTGACATGTCAGTCTGAGAAGTTATGACAAATGACATGTTACGGATATTTTTAAAAATACTGCAGATTGCCAAGAAAAAAAAGTCTTTAAAATGTGTAATTACACTGGGTGCATCTTTAGATTGAAAACAATTTATTCAATTCACATAGTTATATTGATTCAATGTTCAGGCTGACACTTAATCAAAAAAAAAAAAAAAAAGGAAACTTATATTGAAATTTCCCAACTAGCTCTAGTTACAATATATTATATACCAAAGGAAAATGAGATGTGTTAATGTAGGTTGGTTTGTTTTTTTTTTTTAAACTCTGTCATTAAGTAATACTGTTAGTATTTAATAATTTGAAATAATCAATATATCTCAAATAAAACTCAAGACTGTACGCAGGAGAGAAAGGCCCCAGCTGAATAGAGAACGAATTGCTTATGAAAATTCTCTTCCAGCAAAGAATACGACATGGGAAGGGGGGGTCTTTCACTAGAAGTACTAATTGATCTAAATCATGCCTTTTTCTTTTTCTGGGTTTCGGGGTGGGTTTTTTTCATAATCTCATTTTTGTACAGATCAGGTCCTGCCTTCTAATTTCTTTGTAATCTCTGTACTTCAGTTGAAGCATACTTAGATCAGTCATGTGTGAACTTTCAAGCATCTATTTTATCTTCAAATTTCTTACTCCCGAAATGGAAGAAAAAGGGACAGAATGCCTAAGAACTAATCAAATTAGTGAAACATAATTATTTTTTCAAGGCACAAAATGAGCTTATTAGAGGGGGGAAAAAAAAGAGTAAACTCCATGTGCTAATCAGACAAAATTGTTCCATACAATAAAAATACATTAATGTCATAGAACACCAGAAAACTCTGTCTCACTTAGTATTGACCTAAATGTACCAGAGTTCCAATTAGTTCAATTCTTCTTGAATAGCTACCCATCCCGAAAATCAAGTCCCAAAACCAGGCTGATGAGTGAAATGAGTAGATCTTTTGCAGTTGGAGATGACTGTATCTATAGAATGATAGCTAGCTGAACTTCTATGCTGTAACTTTTTCACTATAAAAACTTTCTTCTTTCAGGATATGTGAAAGGAGTTTGATTTTCGCCCAGTTTTCACTAGAGAGATGGAGGGGTGTCACAGACAGCATCAGTTAGTACTGGTAGCAGTATTTTCAACAGAAGAGCCTCCATGAATGTCCTGTGTTCAACCACTGCACATTTTCCTGGTAATGCCATGTTGCACACTACTAGAGCACTCCATGGGAGTTTACGCTGTTGCCACCTAATACGTTATTAGCCAGAGAGTGTTTGATTTAGATTATTGCACCAAGTACTACCTACAAAGTAATCACAAAGGCATAGTTCGCTGATTAAAAGGATGCCTTCTGTTGGGTGTTCCAAAATTAATCATGCATTAATTTAAACTGAAACAGCAGCTATTTTAAGATCATATATAAATGCACACAGATGTTTGGCTTAGAGCTGCCCACCATCCCAACAGTCAGGAATGTCCAAGTTTCTTGGAATCTCAAGAAGACCCTACTGCACAGAAAGCTGATTTTGCCTCTACAGTGTGACCGTATATAAATTTGTTGCTTTTTACATCCATCCTTAGTAGCTTTAAAAGGGCCAGGAAAGAAGCAAAGCTGTGGAGAGCCAAACCCTTCTGGACAAAAGGTTACACCTGGAAGGAATGTCCTGCCAAATTTGAGGACAAAGCTGAGTTCATACTTTCCACAGTTTTTTAGTGTTTGCATTCAGGCTACTTTGATACAAACTAAAATACAACAATTCTTCGCAAAGTCAGATAATCATGGCCTTTCCCTGAATGTTAACACAAGGACAAAATAAGGTGCTCCAGGAGCAAGGAGGCGATAGAACAAAGCCTTCAGCTTTACTTAGGGGAGTTAGCACTTCTGCTGAGAAGCGTCTCCAGCTGCCTGGGAGTTTCATGTCAAGCTACGTCTCCATAGAGGAGAGCCTGACTGTCCTGGATTGACCCACAGACCTGATGGCTAAATCCTGTGTAAACACATGGAAGGAGAGGTATATTCCGAGACATCCAAGCCCAGTGCCATGGGCAGAATGGCAGGTAAGGGAGAACATGGAGCAGGAAGAGATGGTCTTGTTCTCTCTAGTGAGGTTACATCCTGTGGGTTAATGCATAACGGTTCTGCCTCCTGTCTGTTTCAAAGATAGCTCCTGGCAAAAAAAAGCCAGTAACATAGCTTTACCAAAGTCATGTTTACAGACTATTAAATTTTTAGAAGATGCTAGGTGTGGAACGCCAGAGTTTTGAAGCAAATGGACATACGCCATACAAATGTTGGAGGCACATGGGGCTTGGAGATCATTCTTCTGGAGTTCATGTTTTTTTGCTCAAAAGTTTTCATCCAGCAGGTGAACTCTGAATTCTTAGTGCATTTGAGGTGGAGGCCAATAGAAGTTTTACAGCTGAAAAGGGCCAGAATTAAACATGAGTGTCACATTTCTGACAGAACTTGATTGGCAATAAAAGGGCTGGGCTTACATTTAAAAGAACCTGCTAGTAAAGCCTCAGCTTGAGCCTCCACCCAGAAGCCTGAGAAAAGTAAACTAAATTAAATGACTTCACATGCTCAGTCAGTTAGTTTTCCTCATTCATGAGCACAAATCCATCAGCTTAAAAAGCACTAGTTTACCAAAGGAAAAAAGAACAACAAAACAGAAAAACAAGGTAACATATTAAGGATGTATATGTAGTGCTTGAAGTATAAGTTTAACCATTTCTGCAGTTCTCTCCACTGCTGGATCTGGCCAGCTGGTTGCCTCACTCACAGCAGAGCCTGGCTGTATGTCCCACTGCCCCCTCTAAATAAGCACTGCAGCACTGTTACTTGCAGTTTCTCTTATTTCACCTTTTAGGCCAGAACATACATGGCAATGCGAACTAACAGTCTCTTTGTATACACGAGGCTCCTAAACAGTTGCTTGTCTACATCCACAGAATTTTAACAATTTCTGCTTCATGAAAGACTCTAAACAAAGTCACATTTTTTTTTCCTTTTATTTTTTAACTTTTGCCCTCTGATACTGGAAACTATTGCCTTGTATTAGGGTGATCTCTCACCCTGAGTACTCCTAAGCATAGTTAATTAGTTCAGACTTTAATACCTGGTTTCAAATGGCTCTTCGTAGCATGTCTCTTGATAAAATAAAGCAAATCCTCTCTCCATCATAGTAAATCAGTGCATGTGGAATAAAGGTGGTTCAGACCTGACCAAGGGTTCTTTCCATTCATTGTCCTTTTTCTACAGGGGATAATATCAGCAGCAAGCTTCTCCTCTTGGGTCACCTTCTCTTCTGGACTCCTTTGATAGGGGAACTGTGCTCTGCGTGTCAGCTGCCAGGCTCACAAAGAGCATGAGTATTTCATGTGTTTTGCCCTGTATCTCTATCACTGACAGCTTTGCAGCCCCCTGCCAGAAGTCACACATCCTGCAGACCAAAAGCACAGGCACTGCTGTACTTGAAAGGACCCACTAATATTACAATTTGACATGATGGGTCTCCAATATGTGGCTCACCAGACCTTCCTATATAAACTAACTCAGTGGCTTACAAGTTTTACCTGACAACCATTATACTCACGTTCTTTGTTCTCTTTTCAACAGAGGAAGGTATCATACAATATGTGGCAGGTGTATTGTATTAACACACTGGTGAAAGCAGTGACTGCAATAGAAAAGATTAAACATATAATGTACAGTTAGGCTCAGGTAATTTTACTTGGTGAAAAATCAGTAGCTTCAAGAAATACATTTCTCTAGATTGTTGGTGATAGGCAAGACAACGTCATCCACTTGGTGTTTAATCTCCTGGTGACCCTGTCGGTAGGACCTGCTGGTGCACTTCTGACCCTTTTGCAGCTATGTTTTTAAGCACCTCAAAGTAACTGGGAAACAGTTGTTACTGGGAGATAGTTGCCATTCCTCTTGCACTGTACAGGTTTCTATTTTTTCTTTATCGTGCCTTTAAGCATTTGTGATGAATGGCCACATCTCGCTGCCTGCCGCTGCTGTGTCGAGGACACTGCTGAGGGCAGTCACAGCCATGTCTTGGTGGGTGTCCTGCGGGCAGGGGGCTGCTGCCACATGTGGCTGACGCCCCCGGTGCCACGGCTGCTGTGCAGCAGAGCAGTGCGGCTCTGGGGATGAGCCCTGGGGAGCCAACTGGAACCAGTAACGAACCAGTAAGGCCCGGTTCCATACCTGCATTTGTTTCAACTGGCTGTGTCTGTCAGGGCAACGCATAGGCAAGTGGCCAGCCCTGGGGAGGGGTTTGGGGGACACTGCAGCGCGGCGGGTGGTGTGGCCGAGCGGCGGGAGCTGCTGCCCGGCACCTGCCCCAGCCCATCTCCTGGCCTCCCCCGTGACCGCCCCGGGGGCTGGCAGCACCCCAGCGCACAGTGCCGTGCCTCTAGCCACTGGGAGCGGGGTCTCTCCCTGGCTCTCGGCATGTCTGGGGCAGAGGCGCTGGGCCCCCAGGGACCCAAAGGCACTGGGGCATGCACGGGGGATGTCCCCTCCCTTAAAGAAATCGAGCAGCTCCTGAACACTGGACGGCCCTCCTGCAACCACGTTGATGAAGTATGGCCTAATCTCTTCTTAGGAGACCTGTAAGTACAGCTTTACGGACACACCTCTGCCATACATTCTGTCTGCTAGTGTGCCTCATAGGTGCGGCTTTAAACAGCTCATAGTTTTGCTGCTTGATGTCATTTACCCTGCAGACAGCATGGTTTCTGAGATAAAATTATGACTAAGCTGGTACTCGCTTCTCGGTTAGCCCTTAGAAGAAATTCATGGGCTGACACCCCAGCAAATGGCTTGGGAGATGCAATCGCAGAGCTTCTCCAGCTCTGTGAATATCTCTGCACCCATCTCAATTTGTTTGTCTTTGTCTTTTCCTTAGAGTAACAGCTCACAACCGATTTGTTTTGTGGAAGATGGGTGTGACCCATGTTTTAAATGCTGCCCATGGCACAGCATACAGCCACGGAGGCCAGGACTTTTACGGAGCGACCATTGATTACTATGGTGTACCAGCCCATGACCTCCCAAGCTTTGATATAAGCCAGTTCTTTTTCTCTGCAGCACAATTTATCCACAACGCCTTGAGCACGCCAGGAGGTACGAAATTATTGTTGGTCGCATTTTTATGCGAGTTGGCAGCCTCTCATAACAGGTCATCTCCACAAGCTGAGTGGTGGACAAGTCAATCCATGGTCTCCTGCCAGCTGCTGTTCACCTGCACAGTGGGTGGTGGGAGGAGGGAGCATTGGGTACATGTGTGTAGCTGTAACTAGGTCCCAAAAAGTTGACATGAGAAAAAGGATGACCAGTGGAGGAGAGAGACCAGGACAGAGAGGAGAGGAGGCAGAGTAGAGAGAAAAATATCTGGAAGGAAAGGAAGGTTCAAAAATGGAGAAGCAAAAACGTACATTTAAAATGGACACCCTCTTTTGAGACCCTCTTAGGACAACTGTATTTGTAAGAACAAATGAATAAAGAGACAAAAGTCCTGATTTCTACAGCCACCAACCACATGAGGAGGCTCATATATTGCAGATGAGCTTTTTGTGTGAACAATGCCTGCAGGCCTGTGCCCCCAAGGAGATTTACTTTTACCCGAGGAGATTTATAGCGTGTTGCACAAGCGACTGAGCTGCTTGGCACTGGTGCAATAAAATACTAATTAACCTGTATTACATAAAAGACCATTTCTTAGCATGAGTAAACTGGCATTAATGGAGCTGTCTCAGTCTGTATCACAAGTGCTGCCTTCAAAAGAGAATTACAGTCGCGGCAAATTGCCTTATTATGCAATGGTACTAAGCCAGACATTTTTCTTGGTGGCTAATGTGTTAGTGCCATCCTTTCAGGCTAGATTTTGGCATTCTTCACCTAAGTAAGCCCCTCTGAAACCAATGGGTCTGATTTTCCTCTTGCTCACAACAGAACAACTTCATTACTTTCCCTCACTACAGAACAACCCTCATTACAGGGTTTTCTTTGATTTACCAGTGTTCCTGAGATCAAGTTGGGATCTCATGGCACTTCTAATACAAGTGAGTGTAACAACTGAAAATTAGACATAATTGTTAGCAGTTCATGTGATCTATCAGAAGGGTAGGAAATACATCAGTTTGCAGTGTTACTCTGACCAAGCTGGAGAAGGCAGAAGGGGTTTGCCTTCCCTTTAAATTAAACTTAATCCACTGTACTGCTTCTCTTCTATGGTAATAATTTATTTTTTTTAATTTTTTAACCAGCTAAAATTTTGGTACATTGTGCAGTTGGAGTAAGCAGGTCAGCTTCCCTAGTCCTAGCATATCTCATGATAAATCACCACCTCCCATTGGTTGAAGCCATCAAAACAGTGAAGGAACATCGATGGATTTCACCCAATCGTGGCTTTCTGAAACACCTGCGAAATTTGGATGTTCAGCTACGGCAAAAGAAGGACTGCTGAAAGGGCAAACCCATTTACATTCACTTTTCTGAGTTTCAGCCTTCATAGCCATTGTGCATATACAGCTTCCTATGATCAATGCATGTTGAAAAAAATGAAGAAAATTATGCATCAAAGAAAAAAGTCAACAGAAGTGTAAATGGATTACTTCTGATAGCTCCGTTCCTCCAGGACCAGCACAGCCAACACCAGCACCTTAAGCACTGTGTGCTGCTACCAGATGACTCCACCGGACTGGTTAAGATTGACCGAGTTTGTTCCTGGTTTGTACTAATGCCAGAGGCAAGTTCAGTAATTGCATCTAGCTGTACCATATGTTTGAGTCCCCTTTACTCGGGAGTACATAACCAGCTTCCTCGGTTTGGTTACAGTTCTCATGTGCATGTTCTCATAAGAAAAGCTTTTTGTCTTTCAGGCCTGGTGATGTGGTGAGGGCAATTTCTTAAGAGCCCAGGCACTGCTACAGAAACATTCCTCTTTCACTGATCTGCTAAATATTGCAGTGGTACAGAAAGCTGTGACAGCCTGAAGACCCATACCAGCAGAATAAACTTCTGTGCAGCTCTCTGCAGTCTCTGGGTCAGCAAACCCACAAACCTTTTCTTGTGTAAATATGTTTTCAGCAAGATAATGTATATTATGTAGTATATTGAGGACATTAAAAAAAAAATGTCAAATCTTCAAAGCATTTTGTAAGCTTGAACTTGTCAGTTCACTCTCCCTCCAAATTATCCCAACTCAGTTCTGTATAAGTGGCTTTGAATCATCCCTGGTTTAACATCAGGTAGGAACTTAGTTAGCTTACATCAATGGCTAGTTAATTGATACTAATTAGTTTTAAGCTGTTTTGAGGATGTCATTTTCCTGTTGCCGTTAATCAGTACTTAAACCAATATGATTTTTAATACAGCAACAGCATTTGAAATTCATGCTACCACTCTGCCTGAAAATTAGCTTGTTACCTTGTGGTGAACCATGAGGCGATAATCAAATCTATTTTTGCCCTGTGCTACTGGTTTGATTTATTGATTAGCTGACCTTATAAACCTTCCCTGCCAGATTAAGTAAATACATTTCAGCTTGTTTGTTTGCATTTGAAGCATCAGTTCTGATCATTTTCTTCTTTGCTGGAAGAGGCTTGCAAGGTTATTAGAAGACTTAAATAGTGGTGACTTGTGAGTTGAACCTCTTCTTTCCCAGACCCCCTATCCTCCATAATTCTTGGAGAGGTTATGACATGAATGCTGATTCTGCCTAGCACTTACGGGAATGTAGAAATCCCTCCCTGTTTCAGTGTACACAAATGCTTTGCAAAATAAGCATATTTAAGATCCTTTCAGAGGTCTATGCGACTGTCTGTTCAGATTTTCCTAAATCTTGTCAAAGAGCTCCACTGACGAGAGAAAGAGAAGACATTGTAGTGTAAAAAGATCAAATAGAAAATCACATTTAAAACCCAACAGTGCTAGGACAATCTTTATACCTCACAAAGCAGCAGAGTGGTGGAGGAGGAGCTGGGTTTGCTTTGAAGTTCTCCATTAGAGTTAACAGGGATTTATATGACTTAATATTTCATTATAATTTATACTTCATTCACATTACAGTAGATTTTAGTGTGGAAACCTTTTGAAGACATGGCATTGAAAAATCTGAAATTCATGTGAGTGAAATAATGCATCTTAATGGCTTTAGGCTGGGCAAAATTAGGTACATGTGAGCAAGATTAATGGAACCTCCCATCAGGATAATGCTTTGCGTGCCCCTGAACATCTGTCCCACAAAGCCACAGCTGTGAAAGCTGCTCCTGTTGTAAATTAGTACCTGCTTTCAAAGATACTGCTCATCCTGGGAGAGTATTGTTTCACCAGGCTAGAGAAGAGAAGAGTACAGAGCGAAGCTGAGTCAGTATGGCATCCATGCCACCAATGACATGGTAGTGATCTTGTACAGCAAGACTTACTTACCCCAGTGGACGGAATGAATTAGTTAGAAACTCTTTTCAAGGGCACTGGAAATCACAGAAGTGTTTTTAATCTGTTAGTGTTGCCTATATTTCCTGCCTGCCTGTATTGCTCCCTTCCTTATATACAGCTTAACTTTGGCTCCAGGTCTGCTCAGGGAAAAAGATTCCAATCAGCATGAGCAAAATTGTTAGAATTAGTCATATAACTTCATAAAACAGAAAACATTGTCTGCTGTGATGTGCTGAAGGAAAAGAGACCTTCTTACCTGTCACTTACACTATCCATAGTTCAGGTCATGATGTGACATGCCATTAGTTCTTCCCTGTTTTCCACTAACAGCA